AAAACTGAACACAGTGTTCGAGGTGCGGCCTCACCAGTGCTGAGTACAGGGGCACGATCACTTCCCTGCTCCTGCTGGCCACACTATTTCTGATACAGGCCAGGATGCGACCATCTAAGCATTTCCTCACCCACCGGACAGTCCACCCATCAAATCCATTCCTCTCCAGTTTAGAGAGAAGGATGTTGTGGGGGACCGTGTCAAAGGCCTTGCAGAGGTCCAGAGAGACGACATCTGTAGCCCTTCCCATGTCCACTGATGTAGTCACTCCATCATAGAAGGCCACTAGGTTAGTTAGGCAATAATAAAGTTAATAAATAAAGACAACAGTAATGTTTGATTAGAGGAGGTTTCTGTTTTGACTTTTCTTCCTCAAACTTTTTTTTTTTTAGGATACCAACAGAAATCTAAGATATGTTGACCGTTTGCTAGGACAATACAGAGAATACAACAAGGAACAAACCGAAGCAATAGCAACTGTGAGCAACTTTCAGTTCATCTTAACTTCTTAAAACTTTTCTGCTAATAGCATTCATAGCTGAAAACTTGGTAGTAACGGACAGAATATATCAAGAGTTAAGTAGATGTAAACAGAAACTTCTCATATTTATTTGAGCAATCTAAATCAAGCTATAGTAATATGTTATATAATGAAACTCTGGCAGGTTTTGTAGCTTCATTACTTTTCTGGTTTATAAGCACCAAATAGATTGTTATGTTATGATACTTGATTATGCCAAGTACAAGGTGCACAGCTGAAATAGAGTAGTAGGGAACATGTTTCTTTTGCATGAATAAGTGATAAGATAAAAGCTGAATTACAGCAGGGAATGAGATTGTGATCATACATTTTTTTTCCTGTCGTTCTACAACAGCTTCTGAATCTGCTGACAGGCTTTCTCTAAATTGCAGAAGGGGTGAAATTCTTGTAAATATCAAGCTTCTACCAGTTTGAAAACAGGTGTCTGGACAGAGGAGGTAAAACAAATTAGTGCTGGTAGGGCAAGAGAGGTTTATATCTTGGTTACAAACAAACTGCAGCAGGTGCTGTCTTGAAACATACATAGGAGATGTAGGGATATTTTGCATGTGAGGGTAGAGAGAGAAAAAGCAAATATGTAGAAAAGAAGGCTTGCTTTCTTCAGATAGCTTGCTTTCTAAATCAGTATGCACAAGCTCTGCGTGGAAGTCATTGGTGATATTGTATGCCTCATAATAATTTTTTTCTTCTCTTTGAATGCTGTTTGTGTCTTTATAAGCTCTACTTAGGTATTGAATTTGTGGAATTTCTGGTGGGCATTGGAACCATTTAAGGTTGTCTGGTTTTAACAAATGCTGATACCAAATGTAGTTCAATATCATTATTCTGGAAAGATTTTCTATTAGGAAAACACCAAGGTGAGCGAGACACCACTCAAATTTAGTTTTGACTTAATGTCTATTCTTCTTAGTCGTGCTAGGTGGCTTTTGATTATAGCTCAAGCGGAGGAGAAATCTAGAGACTCTAATCATCTCCTGCTTGAGCTTTAAATAATAGAGTAAAATCAGTTGTCTTAGTAAAGATAACATGTTTCACTGAGTTCCTGTTCCCTTTCTGAAGCAGAAGTTTCCACTTGCATAGGAAAGATGCTGTATGTATTTGGTGTGTGGGAAGAAGCAGCTGCAATCAGGAAGTAGTGAATCTGTTCTCCTTCTACAATAAATATTTAAGAAAAACTGGAATAAATTTCTCATTTGGATGGTGATGTGTTGGTTTTTTTTTCACAATGATAGTTGGTCAAGCGTTTCTGCCATATTAGACAAGACTGTTTAGATAAGAATATTTTGCTCCAAATGGAATATGTGTTTAGGTTCTGTCAGTTATGCTGAATATTGTAATGTCCGACTCCTGAGTTCTTTGTGATCTTTTCCTTAAAAAAGACTTTCTTCAGACCATTGTATAGCATCTTTGCATTTATGAATTGGTGACTGCTGGGCTGCTAAGGAGCTCTTTTCCATTCTAATTTATAAATCAGTCTCACTACCCCACTTTGAGGTGCCCAGTGTCTGACTGAATCAATGCAAAACTTGCTACGTTACTTAGCAAAACTTGCTACCTAACTTACAGGGTCAGGAAGGTTTGCTGCTCAGAACTTTATTTCATTGTTGCTATTGTTGATTCTCTAGTGGGTGGGAACATTGTACTCTCCATATGTGCTCTGTTCCAGAGCAATGTTATTCTTGAATTCACTGTTGGTCTGTGATTTCATTATGTCCCTGGAGGACAAGAACAGTAGACAAAAGGTTCCGTTCCACTCTTTGGGATGGGGAGGAGGGAGGAGAGAATGTTTTCGGGTGGGTTTTTTTGGTCATGTGAGGCTTTGAAGAAGTTTAAAAGTAATTACCCTTTGAGAGGTATCTGTTCGTTTTTTTTTTTTATTTTATTTTTTCTGATGGCACTGATGTTTGTTTCTTCAAATAAATTTTAAAAAAAAGACAAAAACAAAACAAAAAAGAAATGGGAAAGGACCAAAACGTTAGGCACTGTTTTGATGGGATTTAAACAGCTTATAGATAAGATGTTGAGGAATGGAATTCAGATTGGTGAATATTAAGGATATTCTATTCCGATTTGTGTTTTTTAATATCTCTGTTCTACTGTCACTAGCCTCTCTTCATTGTTTTAATAATTCAGTTGTTTTTTAAGAGAACACAAATACCTTAAAATATGATGATGTTGATAATGTAAATTATAACTCCAAATTTTTAAACAATTTTTTGGCCATTGTTCTGTTCTAAAGAAACAGACTGAAGAGTAAGGTTGTTAATTCTGGACAATGTCATGGCTCTTTGTTTAAAAAAATAAAAATAATTAAAAAATCCAGCTGTCTGGTTTCATGTAGAAAGGACGAAAATGAGTGCTGTAAAGCTAAAGCATGCAAACTGAGCACCTGTAGCTTAATTCAGAGTTTTTATTGCCTTATTAAAGATGCAAGATAAGTCTTTGACAGAGTCAAGTTAGATTTGAAAATTGAGTTATTGCTGTTCTTTCTTTGATCCTCTGGCATTTCCATGATTTTTAAGTTTTAGCTTTTTGAATACAAAGTGATCTTTTGTTACATACATGCATTGTTGTATCTTTTTCCCTCAAGTAGCCTCTGTCTTTTTGAGAAAGCATTAGAAAATCTGTAAGGGTTTTGGCTTGAGAGTTTCTTAGTGATAATGAAGTTGCTTTAATAATACCATATAATGAAAACATAATACTTTAAAAAGAACCTAAACAAGCATTGAAAGATTCAGAAAAGATATAAAGTAGTGTTTTATGCTTTGGGAAAAAAGTGCTGCCCAGAGACAAACCCAGCACAGTGTATACAATTCTGCAAGAATAAAGCAGCAATTGAACCATTGTGTACAAGACTCTGTTAGGGAGAGGAAAGGTGAACCTTTAGAAATTGATGTTTTGTGGATTGTCAAATAAAGGTATGACAAAAGCACGTGGCTAAGAACCAAAGTTAGCAAATGCAATCTTGGAAAATAAGGCGCAAGTCTGAAAAATGAGGAACTTAGTTCTGAACTCTTAAGTTGAGAATGGCTGCCTTTTTCTGGAAGTGTAACTACTGAAAGTAGGGCTTGATGTAAAGCCGCTTAGTGAAATTTGATAGCCATATGTCAAATTGATTCCAGGGAGGGCTGGTAGAAAAACTCCAACAAAAAATATTTCTTTGAAGTTGTTTTCTGGATTTTGCAGGGCTATTATTGAGCATTGCTGGCAAATAGGTCTTATTTTGGTTGTAGGAGACCTACTTTTCTTTTGAGTTTTCCTGGTGTGTTAAACGACTGTTTTAAGAGACTTGATATTTGAAGATGACAATGTCGGAAACATGTTTTGCTATAGTTATGGGAATATGACATACAAGATATTGAAGAAAAGCTGTTATTAATTCCTAGCTATACTTGGCTTAAAAATAGTTTTGATTCTCTTAATGACTTTTTTGAAAAATAGTATTTTTACATGCATGGTTTTTTTAATCAGTCTGTGTTCATATTTCAGTAAATTGTAATTTCTCTGCAGTTAAAAGAAACACTGGAACAGTCTATAGGTCAATTAAGGAGCCAACGATTAACCCGAAACTCTGGAATGAGAAGTGCTTCTCTCTCAAGCTTATACCCTAGTGATCTGGATGGAGAAGGAGTGTCAGGTAAAATACTTAAGGTGCTTGAGTATACTTAAATTATGTCATATAGCTGTTGTATGGAAAGAGGAAATTAAGAAGAAAAATATGTAAAGATAGTGGCGTGAAAAGTCATCATTCAAAGAAATTCAGTTTCGAAATCTGGGAGACCTGCATTAAGTTATGCAGTTGTTCATTTGGTAAATTCTTGTAGCTTTCTGTTACATAGTCTTTTCTGCTGATATCCCGAGAGATCTAAATGAAACATCGATTCTTTCAACAGAGAAAATTCCTTGTCCACTGCATGAGTTGTAGGTACATACAAGTTAAAGCTAAATCCAAAAGATATTGCAGCTTCTGAAGCTTGCTTCATAGCGAAAAGGAAAGTTAAATTTTAAATGCATAAGATTATGGATGTGTGGATGAAACTATGTAAGGCTCAGTGGAAAAGAAAAAACTGAACCAATGTATAACCTACGGAAAAGCAGTTTTTTTCTTGTATGTCTTTCTGAAAATTCATTACATTTTAGGAAGAGGCTTATTTGGGAGGAGTATTCCTCCCAGGAGTAGCATTTAATGTATTTTAGCAGAAAACTCTAAAACTTTCATTTTTCTAATGTAAAAGCTGTGAAGTACTGTAGTTTGAAGCTATAATAGATCCAGGTGGAGGAAAAGCTGTTGCTTGAGCAAATAAAATTTGAGGAAAAAACTACTTATTCCTTGGAGGAACAAAGGAAACCTTTTTCTTAGCTATCACATACATGTATTCCAGAAATATTTAAACTGAAGAAGAATCCTGGGAAGAGCTAAACAAGAAGTGTGCCTGTGCATTTTATGTAACTTTGGTAGTTGTTTTGTCTGTAATGTGGCCTATAAGGATATTGGCAAGATGAAACACACGTTTTTCATGAAGCAAAATGAAAAATTTCCTGTACGGAGTTTTGTTTTCCTACTTATTTTTTTATCTCTTATCTCATAAAGGGAAGCGCCACTTCCTGCCTACTTCTACTCTCAGGGATTATGGAGACTCACAGGGCAATAAACATCGAAGGTCTAGATCTGCAAGTGTTCGATTTGTCAATGAGGCAGATAATTTGGACCAGGTACAGAGCACTAATGGGAGTTGCTTCCCCAAATAGGCAATATGTGGTCACCAGGCTCTTTGCTTTTACATCAAATGAGGTTATTCTGATGATGCAGCTAAGAATGTTATGAAGTGTGCTTTCAATGTTGTGTGACATTCTTCATTAAGCAGTTACCTCTTGTATCTGTCAGTGTCATAAAGTTTCGTGCAAATCTATCATTATAGATAAAAAGATGCAGATGGTAGCGATATCAAAAGGAGCGTATGAAAATAATCTCTGTACTTTTTAGGCCACATATGAGAATGTTAATCACATATTCAGAGATTATTTTTCTTTCACCTACATGCTGAAGTCCATTGTGGCTATAAAGGGGATTGTTCTGCTTTAGTTAATGGCACAGGATCTTGGTGCTTTTGCTGTTTACTTCAGTGTAGCCTAGATTGATTTTTGAGCCAGCTAGTTCTCCATCTTAATTCTAGGTCTGATCTATGAGTAGGATAATTTGACCCTGTACTTCAGGCAGATGATGCGAGGAGGAGAGGATGTGTATGGCACTGGTAATTTTCATACCCCTCAACTTGTGTCTACTTGCAGACTCTTCAGAAAAAAAAATTAATTACTTTAATGGATAAGATTATAGGCTTTCTATATCCTACAGATAGAGAGGAGATTTTGGTACCTGTTCTTGCTCTTTCGGACAGAGTGGCTCGACCTGCTTGAGTGAATCCCTCTGTGTGGACTAGTTTGTCCAGGAGAAATGTATTATGACTAACATTAAAGAAGCTGATTGTGAGGTGTTCATGTTGACTTTATTAAATCAGTCTCAACTTCCAAATAATTAGTTTTAAACCTAACCACAATACATTCTCTCAGTTGACTTTTTGGGAAGTCTGAGTGCTACAGAAATTCCTAGACTGCTATTTAACCCTGTTTCATTGTCCTTTCAGTCTACTTCTCCTCCTGTTCTTTCCTCCCCCAAGGTTAGTGTGGAACATAATCCTTGGAAGGAAATAATGTTACATGGAAGTCTTTCCTCCTAAGCTTCCAAAAAGCTTAGAAATATTTTAGACTACTTCTAAATAGTCTATAAATATCTTAGAAATTTTATTCAAGGGATTTCCTGCAATACATACAAAATTCCTAGTTTATATTAAGTAACTATGTAAGCAAATAGCTTTTTTTCCTGTTTTGATGATAAGTGCTGGTTTATTCCTTATTCTTGCTTTTCAGTGAGTGAACGTGGCTTTATTCAATCATTAACTATTTTGCAAGAAGAGTATAGTGCTTTGAGGAATGATGAACTAGAAGTAGTCATTGATCATGACCATGGGTAGAAATTGGGACAGAGATAAAGCAGTATTGCTTAACTAAAGCTGTGGCTTTTTCTTCTTTCTGTAACCACAGTCCCTTTATTCCCGTTCTTACTGCTTCTAGCTAAGGTGATTTTCCAGCTGAATGGGCTTTTAGCGCATTTGAGTCTCTCTCCTTCTTAGGCTGATACATTCTGAAAATATGCTGTGTTTTTCAAAGTCCCTTGGGTCAGGTTGAAGTTTCCGGTTAGTCACACAGGGGAGATGGTAGTGCCTGTGTCTGAATGTTGAGGGCAGTCAGCTGGGCTGTGGAAGATCCAGGTTTAAGTCTTAGTCATAGAACAAGGGAGTATTATAAATCAGGGTTTTTTGTAATGATGGTCCTGGCCACTGAGCTGTTGACAGCAGTAGGATGGATTAACTGTCGCTTTTTATCCCATGAAGGATAGATGATCTATTACTCTTGCCTCCTTAAAAACTTTGACTATAAATTGCAGGCCTGCTGAATGGGGGACATGGGAGGTTTTATGGAGGGAAAATAGATGTGGGCTTCCCCCCCGACCCAAGCACTGAAAAAAGCATTGTAGTAGAGTACGTAAAGTCTTGGGCACGGTAAAATACCTTTCCTCAGTGCTTTGGCAGTTCCTGAATGCATCATAGCTTTCTGCTTGGTCACTTCCAATTTCACGTGACATCTTTTTATAGTAAGATATGTAGCTGGGCAGAACTTTGTTTCACTTATACTAGCATTTATTAGCAGGAAATATCTCTCGTGACTTCACCTGTTCAGATTTTTCAACTTGCTTTGTATTAGGTTAAAAGGATGGTGCAGTATCAGGTAACCGAAATGACCAAGCTCTGAACCATAGAAAAAAACATAGTTGGGAAACTTTGGTTTAGCAAATAATGTACTGAAAACTAAAATTCAATGAGCAAGTGTTGTGAATGGTTGATTGAATTAGAAGCATGCAAGCCTCGTGCAGGCTCATCTGCAATTCATGGAATTTTGTAGGTTATTTTTATCTGCGTTATTTTAAAAAGTGTATGTATATATGTATTTTTGGAATATCACAGGAAAAAAGGTTCCTAAGCCTTGGCTTAATTTGTGTACTTTAATTTACAGCTGCATTCTTTCCACCAGTCTCTTCGAGATCTCAGTAGTGAACAAGTTCGCCTAGGAGATGACATCAGTCGTGAACTTTCAAGAAGAAATCGGTATAAACAGAATATAACTCCATGTGAAGAATAGTGTGGAAAATAATTGTTATGCTTTTAAATAATTCTTAAACTCCTTTGTTTTTTTATATTTAAAAAAAATAATTTAGGGAGAGTGAGAAATTGCACAACTTGTAGATGAAAGCAGTATTATGAACTGCTTGTTCCATGTCATCTTGTGCAGTATTTATAAATGTAAACAACACCCATCAATTCTGATTTGTATAGTATATGTGGCTTCCCCCCCCTTTTTATATATGGGCAGAATGGCAAGGACTTGGGAATTTCTTTTATTACAACTTTGTTCCTTATTTGTTCTTGGTACTGGAGTCTCTTGAAGGCAAGCTCTCATGCAGGCCATAATGGTTTTTTTTAAGTACATACTGTCTCAACATATGGTGCTTTGTCTAACAGCAATAACAGGAATTAGTCTGCTAATTCCTAGTAGGAACTAGTACCATTGAAAAGGCCTGTGTAGACGTGTTCATAATTTTGTACTTCTTGATCTGATACCTAGCCTTTCAAACTAGATGCTCCGTTATCTTCACTTGAGGAATGGAAATGCTTTTTATCATGAATTTTCCACTTGAGGTCTCTAATTATGCTAGGAATTTAGAGGCTGTAGAACAAATTGAAGTAGCATAAAAATCCAGGAGATTGTTGCTGCTTAATTATCACAGTTGATATTTAGTTTTTGCACTGTAGAGTATTGTCTAACCTATATTTTTCTATGGAGAACTGATGCTGAATTAAGAAAGACGCTAGAAGAATTGTCTGAAAAGCTCACGGAGTCCCAAAGACAAGAAACGGTGAGTGTGACTAACATGAAAAGATGATTTGTATTTAGTATTCTAAGCAGTATGTGGGCTTCTAGTTTAATGTGTGTGTTGGTGTTCAGTACCACCATATCTGAACACGATCTTATCTAGGCTACTATAGGTTGTTATAACATTGCCCTTTCATAATGAAATCAGCAAGACAAGTTTTATATTTCAGGTACTTGTTTGAAGTAAAAGTGAATGTTTTACAAGTGCGTATGTGGTGAATTTTTCTGTTTCAAAATTCATGATCTTGGAGAAAACTGCTTTTTAACTTTGAACGTTGGTTTGAATGCTATCATACTTGTTGAAGATACCTTTTGAAAGATACAAGCTTTCCCATGTTATGATAATGAATAATATTGTTTCCTTTTCCTCCCTCCCTCCCTGTCCTTTTCAATCCTTATCATCCGTGCAGCATAACGGGAGGAGTCTCTTTGGGCTGCACTCTTCTCTGAAGGCTTTGTGGCAAATGTAACAGAGAAGGCAGGACAGCCATGATAGTCTCTTCTTTTTTGCCTCCTGTATCTGCTGGAAGCAGACTAACTGCAGTCTATATCACTTAAATATGAAAGAGATCTGCTATTGAGATGAAAGTCAAACAGCGTATTGCTGCAGGAACAAGAGAAGTTGAGAATCTCCCCAGTAGTTAGGAGGTAAAAATCCTGTAGGTAGTTCTTGACTCATAAGACTTGAGTGTGTGCTTTGTGTAAGTATTAATGTGGTATCAGTAGCAATGCTGACTTTTCAGAGCAAGTGTTGTGTGTCCTTATTTTCCCATAGGTGATTCATCTTGCCCTAAAATTGCATGAGTTGGTACTTAATGCTCTGTTAAGAGCTTTAGTGATTTGTTTGTCACTGATAACAATATTGGTGGCACAGACCACTTGTCGGCACCAGCAGACTTAATAATTGTACTTGTGTAAGTTCCTGACTCTAGATGAAGTTGGACAGGGATTCAAGAGACTATAATCTATCAGTACCAGTTATATGCTTGATATGATAGAATCCATCAGTGGAGGAAGGCTTGCCTTGTCAGCCTTCCTAAAAAAATATAACAAGCTGTCTTTGTTAGAATGCTAGCTCTGCTTTCTCCTAAAGCCTGGTAGGGTAAGTTTATCTGATAAAGAATTCTTGATACTTGCAAAACTCTTGGTTTTTCTTGTTGTGGCCTACTTCTCAGTGTACTTATTTTTTTCTTCTCTTTCATGTAGCAGGAAATTAGCAAACTCAGTAAGTTTTAACCAAGGTAGTTCTTGAGAAAATAGCTGCTGCAGCTGGCTACACTACAACTGTTCAATGCCTTTGAATGAGAGAAACAAACCTTCCTCCTCAGTCCTCTGGAATGCTGGCAACCACTGTCTTTTCATTAATGAAAAAAATAACTAGCTCTTTGTGACCTCCTATAGTAGGATTTCAAGATTTGAAATTGAATGTTACAACTTTTGACCTAAGAGAAGCAAAAAATGAGATGTGAAGTGTAACAAGGAAGCCTTCTGTAGTTTGTTGGTGGTAAGGGGAATACCAGAAGAATAAGTCTCTTAGTTGGTAGAGAACATTATCATCCAATAAAGCTATGAAAGTTGAAGTGTTTAATGTCATTCTTTTGGTGAAGACACAAACGCTGCAGTGAAATGGTTTTCATGTGTAGGACTAGTAAGACTTCAGCTGGAATATTCTGCTCATTGCTGCTTATTATCTTTAGGAAGAACATTGGCCAAATGGAGAGAAAACCAGAAAGAGGAGAGGAAAAAAAGAAAAGGGGGAAAAATAAAAAAGGCCACTCAAAGACTTCCTTGAAAGGAACAATTGCTAGGGTTCAACTTGCAGAAGAAATATGTAGTTAGGAAAGATCTAGCCATGTATGATGAATGGTCAAAAAGTGGATGTTTAGTGAACGATATTAGAATAGAAAGGCATCAAATGATAATTCTGCACAATACGAGTCTAATCACTTGTGGTTTGGGAGCTTCTGATCTGGAACTGATCTCTGTACTTTCTGTACTTATTAATCCCTCTGTGGATTTCTTTTCTGGAACTTGTCCAGTCTTTGTTATAACTTGCATATCTTTATCATCCTGTCCTATAGCAAGGAGTTCTCCAAATAGATTACATATTGTGAGAGGAACTGCTACTTTTGTGGTGGTCTGTTTTTTTTCAGTTGTTTTGTTTGGTATGTTTTTGTTGGTGGTGTTGGTTTGGTTTTTTGTTGTTGGCTTTTTTTTGTTGTTGTGGTAGGGTTGTTTGTTTTTTTTTTAATCTAACTGCTTTTTCATCCCTAATTTTCCCTGGAGGAGGTGGTTCAGTTTCTTCAGAGGCTTTTCGGAGGATTCCCTTTCTCTTCAGGCTGAAGAATTCCGACATGCTTAATCACTCATTGTATCCAGGCATTTCCACACCACCGAAAAAGCCTAGTGGTAGCAACATTCTGCACTGCTTATTTACCTGTGCTCTCTGATACTAGGTGTGGATCCTTTGCCCTTGTTCAAAGCCTAATGGTCTACTGTTACACTGATGAGGCTGGCAGAATGGGTGAAATGAGGTAAATGCAAGAAAGGGGAATTTAGTATGAACGTTAAGAATAAAAATTACTCTAATGATGAGCATAGCAAAGCATGAGATTAAAGTGTGTGTAGAAACTGTGGTCTATTTTTGTAGATTTTTGAGATCCTTTAGTACTTGTCTGTGTTTAGGAATTATTCTAATGAGATTAATTCAGAATTGATTTCTCATTGGTGAAAGTGAGTTGGGTAGGAGGAAATACTTTTTTTCCTCACAAGTTCCTTATGCAAAGTCGTGCAGGAACTTTTGTCCTTAGTGCCTTTATCACTTTGCTTCGGAGTATTTGTTTATCACCTCCAACACTGCCATCCTTGTATTTGTATTCTACTGTATGATTCTTGGTGATAAATTGTCAGCTTGAAATCTTGATAATTTGACAGGATGACTTCATGATAGAAACATTCTTTTCAGTTCAGTGTCCTTAAGTCTTCATTTCTGTAGGGACGTATATCTAAATTCTTACATCTGTACTGTTCGGTATATTCAGTGTTGTTTGAAAATTGCCTGTATATAGATGTGGGATGATAAAGGTCTAGTCACTACAGTTGTTCTGAGTCACTAGTTCAGACTTTTTTTTTATTAGAGGTTATGATTCTTAGAGCCTTTTTGATGCTGAATCTGAATACTTTTTTAAGAGCCACACAACATAATCAATGCACGTTAATTTTACCTTTAAAGGGAGTCTTTTCCACCCCAGTATAAAAACCAGAGGACATCTGAGGTGGTGACACAGGCATAGTTGCATGTCTGTTTCAAATCAAGCACTCTCCATGGCCTTGTACTTGAGAATCTATGTGTGGTTTTGGTATAAAGACTGCAGGTTCTACAACTCTCTCTCTGTCAAAATCTGTTATCTTACCTAGACATTTTGTGAGATTCCTTTTGTCTTGAAAAGACTTTGGATGTTTGCTGGAAGAATGTCCATACAGACCTATAAACAATTGAAAGAATGTTTATTTACTTTCTGGTTATATAAGATAGCCCTCTTGGATATTTTGTTGCAACCTCCTGGTATAGGAGCACATCCCAAATAGCACAAGAAGCTGATCTTTATGCATAAAAAGTAGCTGTACCGAAGCACAGATTTGTTCGAATTAAGTAAATGCTTAATTGAGATGGTGCCATTAGAAGGTTAGCGCAGGCTGTGTCTGTGGAAAAAGACAGCAATGTCAAGTGAAATGAGTTCCCACACGGACTTAATATGGTTATGATATCTCAGAGAGCTGGGATTACTGTCAGATAAGGAACTGTCCTTCAGAAGATCTGATATAGGGATTTTTGGCACTGCACAGGTGACTTGTAAAATGTCTATCGCACTATCATTTGCCATGAGGGAAAAGTTTAACAATATTTAAAGTGACATCTGTGAAAGAAGTTTGCAATTTTTGTGACTTTAATACTTCTGTTTCAAGTCTGCATTGATGATAAAATAGGTCAGAACAAGAAAGGCAACAAAAGTCTGTTGAAATAGATTTCAGTCAGCAGGACTTGTGCACTAGAAATAACAGTGGAAAACTGAAAAACAGGAGAGAAATTCAAGAAGTAGGATGCTGCTTCAGAACATGAAGCAGCATCTGAAGAGTAGACTCTTCAGAAGGGACAGGCGAGGACGGAGAGGCGGCGGGGTGGCTCTGTATGTTAGGGAGTGTTTCGACTGTATAGAGCTTAACGATTGTGATGATGATATGGTTGAGTGTTTATGGGTAAGGATGAGGGGGAAGGCCAACGAGGCAGATATCCTGCTGGGAGTCTGTTATAGACCACCCAACCAGGATGAAGAGGCCGATGAAGCGTTCTACAAGCGGCTGGCAGAGGTGTCTCGATCGCTGGCCCTTGTTCTCGTGGGGGACTTCAACTTCCCGGACATCTGCT